TCAGAAACCCTTGGCAACGTTCAAATTGCTCATGAGCGGGGATCGGACATTTAAATCCTTTGACAGTGTCGAGCGTGACTGGCTTCTGCAGAAACTGAGTGGTATGGCGTTGACTCTCGTTGGTCCCGAAACTGGCTTTGTGATCGTCGGCATCAAGCGCGCGGTGGAAATGACGTGTTGCCATGCAGTCACGGGGTCATCCAGAACTCGATTACAGGGATAATTTTATTTTCAATATTTTTAAAAGGCTTTCCGTCTGACATTACCATCTGCATATTTATGTAATGGCGATGACGATGTACGGTACAGATGGAGAAGACGATGTACAGTACAGATGGAGAGGACGATGTACGGTACAGATGGAGAGGACGATGTACGGTACAGATGGAGAGGACGATGTACGGTAAAGGTGGAGAGGACGATGTACGGTACAGATGGAGAGGACGATGTACGGTACAGATGGAGAGGACGATGTACGGTACGGATGGAGAGGACGATGTACGGTACAGATGGAGAGGACGATGTGCAGTAATGATGGGCGGGACGATGTAAGGTATATCGATACGATGTACAGTACAGATGGGCAAGACGATGTACAGTACAAATGGGCAAGACGATGTACAGTACAAGTGGACAGGATGATGTACGATGCAGATGGGCAGGACGATGTACGGTACAAATGGACAGGACGATGTACAGTATAGATGGGCGGGACGATGTAATATACAGTACAGATGGGCAGGACGATGTACGGTATGTCGACACGCGTCACGCGAACGCTTCAGTTGGTCCTAAAGATCTCACAAAGGAAACTTTGGCGGTACTTCGCTTCTATCCCGCGCAGAAATGATCTGAAGATAAATCTGAAAACCCCTTATCATATCCTAGCACGATCATGTAAGCGTCCCTATGCCTTCCAGTGCGTTTAAGTCCTTGGTATGTTGTTGACGGAAACCTGACTTGGGACTATGGATGCAGACGTCAAAAAGTGTTTGGTGACTGCTCGTGAAAATTGCTGCCAAATTGGTAAAGGGTACCGGCACTTAAAAGCGCATGATCCGGTTTGCCAATAAATACGTTAGTCGTCCTTATCAGAGAGCAATGTTGTCCCAGCCCAATAAAAGTGTTATTACACGCACTGCCCCATGAATCTACGCTGCCGACGGAAATTGCTGCTGCACTGCACCATGGATCTGGACTGCTGGCGGAGATTGCTGCTGCCCTGTCTCATGGATCTGAACTGCTGGCGGAGATTGCTGCTGCCCTGCACCATGGGTCTGAGCTGCTGGCGGAGATTGCTGCTGCACGGCCTCATGGGTCTGAGCTGCTGGCAGAAATAGCTGCTGCCCTGCCTCATGAATCTACGCTGCCGACGGAGATTGCTACTGCACTGCACCATGGGTCTGAGCTGCTCGCGGGGATCCTTTCCAGGAAAGTCTCTGGCCGGCGGTTAGTCTTACGCACCAACTCTGAACAGCCTGGTGTAGCATTAATCGACCCTCTGGACAGCATGTGATTTGGCCTCAGTAGGTAGAACGTCCGAACGTGGCCCTCTGAGACTTTTCCCGGGCTGAAATGTTCAGAAGAGAGCAAGTGTCTAGCCTATGCGGACTGAGGATCACTATAAAACGTTGTGGTGATAGCGATCCGCTCTCTGTCAGTGGATGTGAGGTACGCGCGCCTGGCGCGTAGACAAACGCCCGCGTGAACCGATGCGAGTGTTCGCAAATACCAATGTCGTCATTTACTGTGTGTTTGGGGTTTGGCATCCATGCTGTTGGTTGCCATGACTCACTTGACATGTGTCTTGCTGAAGATAACGAAGACGATCTTGCTGAGCAAGTTGAGTGGCGTGGATGACGATATACGGAGAGAGAGAGAGAGAGAGAGAGAGAGAGAGAGAGAGAGAAGAGAGGAGAGAGAGAGAGAGGAGAGAGAGAGAGGAGAGAGAGAGAGGGAGAGAGAGGGGGTGTTATATCTATATTATATATATATATATATATATATATATATATATATATATACATTGCTCTACGTGCCGATCCAACGCCCAATAAGTTTTGTTCAATCAGTTGTAAACATTCATTTTATTCACAGCACCATTCCCGGTCATGAGATGCTTGCATGGATGATAGCATTTTGTCCGGAAAAATGTTTAATGGTTTGATCGTTGGAAAATCCTCAAAGAGACATCTTGTTTGCTGTCACTTAAACACGTAAAGCCCCCCCCCCCCAAAACCGAAACGCCACTTGTCCTCAGAGGCGGAAACGCGACTTCCGTTACATCATCGCTTCGCCCGTGGCTTTATCGCCGCACGATCTCGACGCCCCCGAGCCATAGCCGGCGCCGGCACGACAATATCGGCGTCAGTGAGACAAGCGGTGCGCAGCCAGACGGCGGCAGGCACCGCCCAGTCATCACCTCGACACGGCAGCGACAAAGGGCGCGTGGCGCCAGCTACCGCGCCTTGATTGTCTGCAGCGCCGCAGACCGGGCGGCACAAAACCCACTGACCGGCTGGAGACCCCCCTCGCCATCCCCCGTCCTCCCCCCCCCGCCGCGGCCCTCACTGTCGGACTAACGCGACCCGCGGCGGCGGCGAAAGGGAAATCATCGCCCACGGTTAATTGCCCCTCAAAGGGTGCAGGTATCCCAGGTATGAGGCTGGCCGGCCGCTTTGATGTCGCCGCTAATAAACCGACAGATGGGCCGACGTCGACCGCACACGTGCGCCAGAGGCCTGCGCAGGACGCAAAAGAGGACATTTTCAGTTGATAAAAGTGGAAAACTTGATTGTGCCGGCAGATTGTATCATTGCTCCCCCGTCCTTGCCTACGGCGTAGCCCCAGAACGGCTTCCGAGGCTGCTGGCTGAGGCCTGCGCTCGGGAAGGCGTATCTTCACGGTCGGAGATGCGCTGACCTTGGAATGCTGCTCGCCCATTGGCTGTCGCTGGTTCCTGTGTTGACCCGGGTCATGTCTTCCGTTCAGCGCAGTTTTCGCTTGGCCAGGACAGCGTAGGGACTGGTGGTGACGGCGCGCGCGGTCAGCGGTACCCTATTTATTACTATTTATTTGTATTTATTGACAATTAGGATTTTCCGTGCGATTGCATGGTATGGAAGACTACCAGGCGTATTCGACAAGGCTGTGCTGGCTCGTGCTCGCCCTGTGCTGTTGTCCTACGGAGGCCCTGCCGTGGTAGGTGATAGGGCCTTGGCTCGATGATTCGATGTTCTCGAAGCGACATTGCTCATCATGTGTTGTTTTAATGGATTTCTGCCTTCTGTACTGCTTTCTTTACTAACACAGTGGAGGACTTTGACAACCAGGGTTGATTTATTGCATGATTTGGAATGGCCGCGGAGCATGGACACTAACGATGTCACCCTGTTCTGGGATTCCACCGAATGCGGCATTTTATAGCAGCAGAGAATGCGGCTTTACTGTAGTGATTGAGCCTACTCGCCATGTGTTGATGAACTCGGCCGTGCTGACATATATGGATGATATGAACCTGATCTCAGCCTTCCGTCCGTGTTTGTAATACTCCTGTTCCCTCCCTCTCTCCCTCTTGGCTTCGAAACGATGTCTGTGCACGTGAAACTTCAAAATCGTAACGGCGGCAACAGCAGCGCATCGCAATCAGCGATTGCGCTCGACTCATGTTCTGCATCGCAATCGGCCATTGCGCTCGGCTCACGTTCTGCATCGCAATCGGCGATTGCGCTCGGCTCATTGTATGCTTCGCAATCGACGATTGTACTCAGCTGGCGTTCTGCATCGTTTCAGGTCTCTTGGGAACGTCCTCATGACGGGCATATCGGTAAGTTCACCTCCATGTTTCTGCTGAGTTATTGTCGCTGATATCTACAAAGACTGTTGTTATTTGGGCTTAAGGGCGCGAGGAATGACATTCGTGTACGACTGATAGCACTTCTTTAAACCAATTATGTCTGTATATTGTTCCTTGCTATATGAGCCGCTTTGGACATGTTCAGCCCAGAACCTAAAGTCAGCACTCCGATCTGCCACACCTCTCTCCAGTGTCTGTACCACCATACCGTGAGTCAATAGACGCACAGGACTTGTGCTTTTCGCATTGCTTCTTGGTTTATTCAGAGGGCAGAGCTTGCAGCTGACGCAAGTTGGCGAGGTGGTTCAGGTGTTTCTGACATCATCCCAGTCGTTTGCTCTGAGCACAATGAGCTTACATAACAGCTGACGGCCAATGATACCGCAGCATCCAAATTCTCCAATCAAACACAGGATACCGAAAACAGACGACGTGCGACCAAATATCCGGCATCTTAAAGACCAGAAGGTCGTTTCTATGCATTCTTTGTCGGCCAGCGAAAACTGCCAGCCCGTTTGCCTCCATGCGTCGCGTTCCTTGTGGCCTCCGACCTCCACGCCGCGTGTGTGCCTGACCTCTGACCCACATGCACGTGCTCCCAGGCTGGGGTCGAGTTTACGGACAACATGGCGGTGGGACAGCGGCTGGCGCACACCCACTGCCGCAAACAGTTCTTCTGGCACCGCTGGAACTGCCCCACCGACGACTTCCTCAGAAGGTGAGGAGAACTGGGTGGTGATGGAGGGAGAGGATGTCGTCCGGGAGGGCGTGGGGAAGGCGTGGGGCCTTGTGTGGCTCCCCTGCGATAGCGACAGCGACTGTCCGAATATCTCACAGGCTTGGGCACCCAATTATCGTCATGCCGCCCATAGTCTTGGAGTGCCGGCTCGCACCGTCCAGCATAGCCTGCCCCTTTCATGCGTCCAATCGGTAACAGCTGAGCCACGGGAAGCTTAGCCAGGGGATACATAGCCAGGGGAGATATCTGGCTGGAGAGATACATGGAGCTGGCGGCTGAGCTGAGCTCGTGCCATGCTTACGTAGTAATGATTGGGTGCTGAAGATACGCAGCGGAATGTAACACCCTTTATTATGGCAGAGGGTGCCAAACTATGAACGCGACACGTAAACAGCATTAGAAGAGTTGTTGTACATCCAGCTTGAACAAATCATTCTGTAATGTAGGCAATCTATATTTTCTGTACACTTTTTGCTTCCTGGTATCGCCTGGGATATTGCAGGGAACTGATTGTCATAATGATTTATGGTGCCATTACAAGCAATAACAACGCCGAAATACTAGTCGCCTGAGGCCTTTACTAATCACATCAGCTTCATCAAGACTAACCATACAGGATTGTTGCCGATGTGTGCGGTTCCATCGGCACGTGACGCTGGGATGGCGTGGTCGTCCTGTCTGCAAAGAAGGGAGCAGGCTTCCCAGACATGGCACATATAGCCTCGTAGCATTCCGGAGTCATCGGGGTTGCATGTCGAGCCATGACCCCACGAAACCTCATTCAGTCCGATCGAATCACCTAAGCGTGAGCGGCAACTGACCGTCAATACGCCGCCCGCGGCCGGTCGTGATTGGACGCCGTAACGAGCCGCCGGTCGTGATTGGACGCAGTAACGAGGCCAGCCTTACGTCGGATTCTGTCTGAGCTGAGCAGGAGACTGATGGCAGGATTACGACCTACGACATGACGTAACAGCAATATTTCCGTGAAATACTGCGCCTTACCTACGTAGCAGCATCTGTGGCGAGTGTTTTTGTCCTAACACGAATGCTGGTGAGGTACATGTCTGAATGCATGAGTTGCAATCGAGAGGACAACATCGAACACTGGTGGTCCATTGACACCGGGACTGATTCTCAGGCATAGCGAAATACAACTGAATGCTGGTTCGTAACTGGCGTACTGAACGCCGCAGTCCTGACGTTGGCAACAGCAGTGCACCAGTATGCTTTGCAGGGCTAAGATTGAAAGGCCCGCAATGCGAGAGAGATATTTCATTACGTTCGTGAAGAGGGGATATGGGGTTCTATCCATCGGGACCTCGTAACTAAGCTTTGCTTGGCTCAATGCCTAAGTTGTTTTATTTACGCATGGAGAGGCGGGGGAATGACGGAGTTGCTGCGCAAAGCTTCAGCAATGACATTGACAAATGACATGCCAAATGACATTTCCCTTGTCCCGGCGCTTTCCCAACCAGACAGACAGACAGACAGGCGAGAGGAAGAGCAGCCAGCAGTGACCCTGCACGGTCATGCATAGCATGAAAAATGAGGTCATGGGCACAGGATAAGGCGTAAAACTGGTAACAAAGCCCGACGGTCCGAGGTCAGGGTCTCCACATGTGTCTGACTGCGATGAGACGTAACGGAAGCATGCTTAAGGGGATGTCAGGGATCAGATGCTATTTCATTTCACGGGTGACGCAATAAGTACATTTGGCTCCTCATAACATGCGCAACAAACAGGTCCCTCCGAATCCGCTCATGCCAGGCTCATCCCAGATTGTCACAGGTAAGGCCGATTCAGGTCCGCTGATCCAGTGCTTGTTGTGGTCCATTCTGACCCACTTGTTCCCGTTCGTTCCGATCCGTCTCATTTCGCCTCCTTCCGTGTGATCCGTCTGATCTGTGCCTGTCCATTCCATCCGCTCTGCCCCGTTTCCGCTTATTCTGATCCGTTGCGTCTGGACCAGTTTCTGTCCAGTGGATTCAATAGTATGTCCAGAGGAACCTAGCCCTGTCCCTCGTGATATGACCCGCTCTCCGCGACTCCACACTACTCACACCTGCTCCATTCCACTTGCATCCACTCCACTCCCCTACTCTCCACTCCACTCCACTCAACTCTATTGTACTCCACTCTACTCTACTCTACTCTACTCTACTCCACACCAAACCGCTTCATTGTACCCCACTCTTCTCCACTCTGGTCCACTCCGCACTCGTCTAACAGGCACCCCGTCCCGCGCAGGAACCACCAGCCGGGCCGAGCCACGCGCGAGGCGGCCGTGGTGGACGCCATGACCGCCGGCGCCATCGCCTACGCGCTGACCCGCAACTGCAGCAGCGGCCAGATACCCGGGTGCACATGCCAGGCCAAGACCAGCCGTGGAGGTGAGCGGGCTGCCGGCCGAGGAGGAGGCCACTGCAAGAAGGTTCTCGCTCTGGCGTGTGTGTGTGGGGGGGGGGGACCAGGCGCGCTCTCCGGAAGGGTGGGAGGCATTCGCTCGGGAGGAGGTTGAGGTGGGGGGGGGGGAGGTGTGCCCTCTGGAGGCGGTCAGGGAATCCTTCCCCGAGCGCAGGAAGAGGAAATATGGGATGACAATATAAAGGATCACTACGGGGGAGGGGGAGAGGCGGGGGTTGGCATGCGCAGGTGAGCGGTCTCGGAGGGCGGAGGTGAGTGAGATGAGAGGCTCAGAGACAGAGCTGGGGGCACACGCTAATCTCCCTTAGATATTGACAACTTACTCTCATGGGAGTAGAGCTTAGGGTGTGTGGAGAGGCTCTCCTTAAGCTACGTTAAATATGGGGGGGGGGAGGAGGACGATGAAACATGATGGAGGTGCCACACGAGAGGGGAATAGAGCATAATGGAGGTGCCACGCGGGAGCCAGAGGTCTTGGACAGTGCAACATTACGCTTAGGTGTGTGGGAAAGTCTGGTTGGGTGTAAGAACATGTTAAGACATCACATTATAATGATGTTGGCGTCTCCTCCGTACAAGGAATACCATATTGTTAATTTTGCATCTCTAGCACATTTAGGGACCAAACGGACGTAACTTTATGGGACGTTACGCTTAATATAGCAAACAAAAAAAAAACAACGGACAAGTAAAGGCTGTCCCCAGCGGAAGTGGGGGGAGGGGGGGGGGCATCCAGACACCAATTGATCATGGAATCAGAGGTAGTGGTCGGTAAACCGGAATGTCACCCTTGCTGCGCATCGCAAAATAATATATTTGGCACTGAAGCAGGTAGATATGTATATAAGTGTATGTGCGTGTACATGTAAATGTACGTCAACCCCGTGCGTACGTATGTGCCAAATGTGTGTACCCCACTGTAGAGCTGGACACCATATCTATACTACGTCTGCATTGTGCATGAATGTTACGTTCTGGACCTTCCGCACATACGTGTCCGTACTTGTGCCTGCATCTGCGAGTGCGGATGCGTTCTTTATGTGCGGGTGCGACTGTTGGGTCTGCACCCGCGCCTGTAGGACAGCCGGAGGGGGCGACAGGCGGTGGCTGTGTTCGTGTCCGTGGATGTTCATCTATCTGTGCCTGCAACTGCATGACAGGCGCAGACCAACACCCTGTGCCGGGCGTGTCTGTGCCTGTAGCTGTGTCCGCTTCTGTATCTGTGTCTGTCTTTGTGCATCTGCACGTGTATCTACATCTGAATCGCAGGCGCTGACTGGCACTGGGGCGGCTGCAGCGACAACATCGACTTCGGCGTGCGCATGTCGCAGCAGTTTCTGGACCACGTGCCGCTGGACATACCGCTGAGGCAGGCTGTCGTCAGACTGCACAACAACCAGGCCGGCAGACAGGTGGGCAGAGCGCCGACACCCCCACCCCCCCCCCCTCCCGCCCCAAATCCAAGCTCGATCCAGGCCGGCAGACAGGTGGGCAGAGCGCCGACACCCCTCCCCCCCCCCCTCCCGCCCCAAATCCAAGCTCGATCCAGGCCGGCAGACAGGTGGGCAGAGCGCCGACCCCCCCCCCCCCCCACCCCCACCCCACCCCACCTACCTACCGTCCCAAACCCGGGCTTGAATCTCGGCTAGGGGGCTGAACAGAGCTGTCGGCACGGTCGTGGGGGGAGGGGGGGGGGGGTCGGCGTGCGTCCTGCGTGAACGGGAAATGAGAACAGATGTAGAGTTTCCTTAAAGCGACTGGAAAATGAACGATGAGAATAGATGAGTTTGACATGAGAACGAAGGTAGAATTGCTTTACAACGCTGGAAAATGGGAACGAATGCACAGCTCAGTTTTGGGTGAGTTTCGCAAGCTATGAAATGAAAACAGACGGGAATTGTTAGAAGGTTGAGAGAGAGAGAGAGAGAGATATATATATATATATATATATATATATATATATATATATAAACAGATGACATAAACAGATGACAGATGATAAACAGATGACAACCTCTACGATAAAGACTTCTTCTACGAAGAAGTTATTAGACCTCGTTTATGGGTCCAGAGGCCGTGTTCCATTCCCGCCTGAGGAGGGTTCTTGCTGGTCCTGATTTTATTGAGGTTGGTCACACAGTGAACGAGTGTGCACTGTGAACCGTCGAACTGTCAGCGTGTGTGCACTGTGTACCGTCGAACTGTCAGCGTGTGTGCACTGTGTACTGTCGAACTGTCAGCGTGTGTGCACTGTGTACCGTCGAACTGTCAGCGTGTGTGCACTGTGTACCGTCGAACTGTCAGCGTGTGTGCACTGTGTACCGTCGAACTGTCAGCGTGTGTGCACTGTGTACTGTCGAACTGTCAGCGTGTGCACTGTGTACCGTCGAACTGTCAACGTGTGCACAACACGGGGAAGGGGAGGAAGAGAGGGAGAGACAGAGACGCGGGGGAACGGGGAGGCAGGGAGACAAGGAGGGAGAGAGGAATAAAGGTGAGCGTATGCGATAGCAACATATCTGCAGATAATGGGCTTTTTAGCTGATACGGTGCCTCAAATCAGAAACTATTGAACACAACATCTGAATATATTTGCTTAAAGTCGGGCATATTACATGTGGATGTCTTTCATACTGATGAACGATACTGTACTCTATTTGCTGGAGGCTTGCCGTGTGGTAACAGCAGCGTGCCGCGTATGCCTATCTATCGATTGGTAGCCAGATATGTTCCGGACGTGGGCGGCCACCAGCGCTTTGCCTTTGTGAGTACACTTGGCCAGCATCGTAACATTATTTATCAGTGCAGGTCGTGTGAGGTCGGGGGCGGGTATCATGTGTTGCATCGGTGCATCATACCGGCACTGTCGATGCACGACAAGGCTCATCGACGCCCCAGTCACCGACACAACCATTTGCCACAACGGAAGTCGCCGTCAGTGGGTAGGCACCTCTTCGTAGGTCGTTTCTCATAATAAGGGGAGATGTTGTGACATTTTTGTTAGCAAATTGCGAGATTCATATCGTGGTTGTCGACGTTGAATACTATCAGGTACTGTTTCTTGCTTTTATATGACGAACAGCCTTCTCCTCGGCCTCATAGGCCGTTAACCCCCCCCCCCCCCCCCCCCCCCCCCCAGCCAGATGGCATAGTTGTACGTGGGTTTCACGCTGTCCTGGCTGATGAGTGGAAGTGCTCATGAAGCACTCCGATCTCGTTGTCCATAGCAGTTATTAGACTGCTGTTATTTAAGAGTAATAAGGCCGCAGTATCTAGCAGTTATTAGACTGTAATTTGTTAGCAGTTACGGGCACCTCAGTTTACTTTGACATTGCTGTGTCTGATTCTAGCACGTCTCTGATGTACGAGCGGCCATGTCGCGCCATGTTTGCCGGTTCTGTGTAAGTCTGAGCGGATCACGCGTTCTTTGTACCTAACTGGACTGTCGCATTAGCAGCTCAGGCGTCGGCGGCCGTCTGGTTTTCTGGACACAGAGGCTGTAAGCTGACCGCCAGAGGCATCGAATTTTAAGGGAGGTCACTACAGAATTTAAATGCTTTGGTTGGTGAGTGGCTCCATCGTAAACTTAAGAAGTAAGCTTTCCCAGATTTGGTCGTGGACAAACAGGCTACATTGGGCCTGCAAATGCTACCAAAAGGGTACGACGCCCTTTGCAGTAAGATCAATCACGCTGTGTTTGGAAGCAGGTGAGAGGGGGGGGGGGGGCGGGGCAAAAGGGTCTGCATTCCGAAACGCATGTTTAGTTATGCAACCTATCTTCTTATCGATGCAATTGCTAGCATCAGATCTCTCAAAACTTACACATGTTAAATAGCGTGCTATTTCGCACTAACTCATGTCTGACACAATACTCAGCAACATAGGCCGTGAAATAGTTCCACCGCCGAAGGCGCATGTTATATTTCGACGGCATGTGGTGAGAATATTGGTCGCCTTGTTAAACGATGCATGAACAGCGTAATTAGGTGGGCAGTGACAGTCATCTCTGGCTGCTCCTCAGCTTCACATGTTCAGGTTAATGTAACAGATGAATATGCTAATGGCCATGGCAGTTGGGTGCGTCGTAACGCGTCGTGAAAAGCCGTTCAAGGCAATCCATCACTCGTTGAACGACGCAATTTGTAAATCCACCAGGCTGCCCTCACTGACTGCGTAACGGCCGGATTCCTCTTAGCTTCTAACGGACGTAGTAAGTTTACGACCCAGTTCAATCATGGTAATTTCGAAACATGATACGCTCAAGCCTGAAAGCTTTTATGCGCTAGCTCGCGCTTAGCTTATTGAGGGGACTTTCACGCGTAGTGGCGTCAAAACGGAGAACATTCTCACTGCGTTGATTAAATGAAACCTGCCATGCCCTGGCTGGATTCACACAGCGATAGATTGAAGCAAAGAGTGGATAGGTTGGAATTTTATGCAATCTCCGTCACGACACCTCGAAAACTCATACCTGACCTCCTCTTGGATGAATCGGTTGCATATAATTGGCTCAGCCGCAATATGGCGTGTAGGGGAATTAAATCGGGGCACATGTGATGAAGTCATCTCGCACGCATGGGAAGCGAACCCGGACTTCCACGACTTCTTCCAGGATGTACGTAGAATACCAACGACGCTTAAAATGTCAGTGATGAAGTGCTAGTCAGAGGGCCTCTTTCACCAGTGGGGGCCCCTAGGATAGCGAGGGCCTCTGCCAGTCAGCTGGCTGAGACCACCAATGCCGAACAGTCGGCCTCGTGCTGGTCTGGGCCCTGGGCCCATTTTCCAAGCAGGGGCAACGCCGGGGCCTTCAAAGGTCATGCAGAAGGCCTCTCGCAATGTTCAGGGCCCCTGAAACAGCGAGTGGCTCCTTGTGTTGGTCAGGGTTTACAGTGCCTAACACGGGATCCTGTGTCGGCAATGGGGCCCCAAGTCAGGTTGTCAGTCAAGCGCATTGGCTGAAAATTGACAAGCACGGGAGCCAGAATGTCAAAGGGCGTCTTGACAACGACAATGAAGGGATATATGAGAAATGACGACGCAAGAGCTCACATTCATAATGTGACGGTAGAAAGGCCCTGTGTCTGTCAGAAGCCGCAGTGCCAAAGGAGTGGCCGTCCGGACTGTTTCAACCGGGAGCCGATAGGCCGAACTAGTGTCTCAGAGTTAATTATTACGCTCCCTGTTCCGGTCAGAGACCCTGTAGCATCAGGAAGAGGACCGGTGCGGTGCGTGACGTAACCCTCTGAAGACCTCCGGGTAGATAATGGGGCCCCGGCCCCCGTATCATTAAAATTGAAGTCTCTAGTGACCTTGTGGGAGGACGGAAGTGCCCTTCAGCTCCTGACCAGGGAACTTCACGAGCGCAATTTTCGAGGTCGATCCTTTGAACGGAATGAACAAGTAGAGCAACAGGAGCGATAGAGATTACTCTACTCTATGACGACTTCGTGGTGCTGCACGTGCTGATCCGTCCCGAGTATCAATCAAATTATTGCGTAGGTACATCACAGTGCATCACAACTGATGATCAGCATCATTGTCACAAGACCAGGTAGTTCAGCTAGCTATGGCTTCCACTCACCAGGCCAAGCATTGGTAGACCCTCAACTCACGCACAGCGCAGTGAAGTCTTATAATACGCCGTACCGGAGCATGCGTGGGGATGAGCGCACATTTTAGGCAGCTCTTGCGGTCTATTCCCGTCCTGATTCCGGCCGCGCTCGACCGATCGGATCCTGCACCCTGTCACCCGTCTAGCCATCTTAGCGTGGGTCTGGTGGGACGGTAAGTGCAGCCACACGTCTGGTGCAGATCTAGCGTGGCGATTCGAGTGACATGCAAATCCGCGGCAGTGTACTTGTTTGCGTGTGTGACATCAGCTTAGTTTCACAAATTTGAAATGCATGGATGACAACCAGTTGGTTGCAAATTCCGAGTGAATTATATAACTATAGCATAGGTACTTACCATGCATATATGCGGCAACTATAAAAATCATGGTCCAATTAAAAAGTCCCCCCTGATCTACCTCCCCTGAGCACGCCCTTGCACGCTAGACGTACGGTGCGCATGCGCTGTGCCCTGCTTACTCTGACCCGCTGGATTTGGCCGTCAGCTGGTGCGCCGCTCGGCCCGGAGGCTGTGCAAATGTCACGGGGTCAGCGGCTCGTGCACCATGGAGACCTGCTGGACGCAGATCGCCGACTTCACGCTGACGGCCGAGCGCATCCGACGTCGCTACCGCAAAGCCAAACGGTGGGTTCGAGACCTGGCAGAGGCAACTTCATCCCTCGTTTCGAATACCGTCATCAATCGATGGTTTTTGCGACGCTGAAGCATGAGCGGGGGGGGGGGGGTTGTTCGCTTACTATTTCGAGGGCGGGGATATTCTTGAGTGTGGCACTTTGCTAAACTTGCTTGTGCAGCGTAGTTTGGGTTCATGCATTAAATGGGACAAATGCAGTGTCAAACAGAAAAAGCTGACATGACATCGTCATCTCTATTTCCCGCAGGCTGCACAACAGCGCGCAATCTATGCGCGTTACGTTTAGGATATGAAATACGCCTTGGGATTATTTCCCGTTGATTTTTCATTCGAGAGCAGTGTTCTGACGCATCCCATATTAAGGGGGAGGGGTGGGGGTGGTCAATAAGCCCCTTTTCCCGCTGGTGTCCGGACTAGAGACGCAACTTTTAACCCGTTAGCCCACCTCATCTGACCCGCAAACAGCCTTGGGCTTTTGGCCGGGTTGTGGGCCAGACTTGGTGGATTTTTGCGGGTCAAAGTTTTAGCGAAGCAAAATGATGCATTTTTTTGCTATTGTCTAAATTGAAGACCATGAAAAATAAATTATGCCGCCAAACGCTATGCAATTATGCAAAGTCATGTTTTGATTTTTATAGCAAGACATCCAGTGGCAGAAAACTCATGGCAAACATGCTGCACTAATAAACTAAACTGCCCGAATTGAACAACTTAAGTTGACATATAACCTGAAAAAAACTGAAGAAAACAAAACCAATTTGCAAAGTATTGCCAGCTTCTATTAAGCAGGAGTAAGGCGGGCAATCGGCATAAACCCAACTTTATTCTGTACTTGGCTGTGGTGATGATAGTGAGGTGTGTACTTAACCTTTTTCGATTCTTTCACAAACCATGCCCCATGGTCAATATCAATTATTAACGAAGCTGGTAAACTGTATGCCTTTCATTCCCCTAGCCTAGCATGCTTGTTTAGTACAGCCCGCAGTTACTGGTGTCACACACAGAAATAACTGTCTAGATTGAAGTAGGAGCAACGTAGAGATTGCATGGCGCATCAGTGATTTGGGACATTATGCATGCTGTATGACATTTTTCTGTAATGGCACCAGTATCAGATGCATTCTTCTATCAGATCCATTAGATACCTACACCGTCTGCCACCCCTAAAAAAGTTAGTCATTCAGTGCCTCATTTTGATATTGGTGCAGCAACAAAAAGATTGCATTAATATTATCGCAAGATACAATGCAAAGGCTCTGTCAGACTGGAAGAGGTGAGTGAAGTGTGGGGAAGGTACACCAACACAAGTCGCATTTTAATGGACACCAAGCTTATCTTTATGGACTTTCCATCTGAAGTGTAAATGCAACTGTGACGAAAGGTCTGAAAATATGGTGTTTCTTTTTTGTTGGTTGCTTAACGACGCAATGAAGGGAACATCATTACATAGACATCATGGCGGTGTGTGCACGAACGCAGGAGGGATGAACAAATGAACTGAACACGTTGCTTGTTGTGGCATGTAGCCGGCAGAGCCATGCAGTTTTGATACGTCTCCGGAGCGCCAGAACTGTATAAAATGTCACATTAAGTTACATTTTTAGATTTTTGAGGATGCTGTTCTACAGACTAATTATGTCAGATCACAGTAATTAGGTGTTAACGAAATATTATTGTAGCTGCGTAATTGCTGCAATCGGTCATTGAAGTTAGGATGTAAGATTGCTAGGCCGGTGCCAGTTTGAAACCTGGTATCTTTTGGTGTAAATCTTCCTTCCCAACCTGTTGCTAAAGGGTCTTGCTCATTCAGAAAATGATATCAATATTTGCGATTTACTTTAGTACAACACAATCTCATGTCTCAAATACTTTGATCAATGCTGGACGAGGAGCATCACTGGCATCAGCCATAAAATGTCGAACTTTATATGATACGGGTATGAGACATTTCATGCATATTTTATGTATATATATAAAATAGAGGAGGAGTGATGAAATACAGCTTGAAATTAACTCTTCTTGCGGATCTAACTGATCTTGCTGGTTGATACCGGGTCAGCATCATAGCACAACCGGGCCAGTATTGTAGCACCATTCTGTGCTGGATTCCCAGCTGGCCGGGGCAAGCTGGGCGGAATTTTTTAGAAAAGTTACATCTCCTATCCGGACATGATCTGGAACGTCGCGCAAGAAATGCGACGGAAACACGTTATTTTTGGAGATGCGTGTGTCCGTCTGCAGCTCGCCAACACAGGCTCATGATTTCCGTGGTGCCCGGTACGCTAGTTGGTGCTGTTCTTTGTCTAGTCATTAACCTAAATTGTCTTTTTGGTGGTCCCTGGAAACCCGAGGCGACTTGTTGTCTAGTTCGACGTAGCCTTCACATCATACACTATCCCATACAACCAGATAACGAAGCCATCCAGCTTCGGTCCGACAAGTAAAGGCAACAGCGCGCACAGGAAATGATATGCGACCAAAAAACTTGATTGATATGATGTTACGGGGAAGTTCATTGATCGTGGCGGTCTATACCGGTATCACGCCGAGCAGGAGGCGGTCTGAGAGGGGAGAGGCCGTCTTGGCTTTGGCGAGAGGCCGTATTGGCTTTGGCGAGAGGCCGCATTGGCTTTGGCGAGAGGCCGTGTCGGCTTTGGCGAGAGGCCGTGTCGGCTTTGGCGAGAGGCCGTGTCGGCTTTCGTGAGAGGTGTCGTCGGCGTCTGACTCGGTGTCGGCAGCAAACTAGATCAGTGCCGTCCAGCGCCAGTGATTGTCCGGCAATGTCAATGGAACTCGCTGACAATGTTATTAGAAGAAGTATCTAGTACCAGTTGGTCATAATCACTAGAAGACATTAACACTGTGAGCAGCTGCCGAGATGCCGCCAGACACTGATCTGCCAGGGCCACATCCAGCCGGTGTCATTACCAGTGGCAGCCAGGGCCAGTGACCTCCCAAGGAACCGTCCCTGGGTGCGCCTCTGGCGGGGGCCACGGTCATTTGCTGCATACATTCGGTTCTCAGTGTAACAGCGGGCGGGAGAAGGCGCCAGAGACCCCGACGGGCGAGAGAAGGGACCAGAGGCCCCGACGGGTGGGAAAAGGTGCCAGAGACCCCGACGGGCGGGAGAAGGTGCCAGAAACCCCGACGGGCGGGAGAAGGTGCCAGAGACCCCGACGGGCGGGAGAAGGTGCCAGAGACCCCGACGGGCGGGAGAAGGTGCCAGAGACCCCACCATGGCGACGTTCAGACTCGGGGCATCCCTCCCCGCAAAACTACGTGAGACAGCATCCCGGCATCTCGGCATCCTGACATCCCTCCCCCAGCATCACGTGGAACGGGCGCCCCCCACCGCCAAGGCGACAGCAGGCTGCAGCAAGCTACCGTTTCATCTGTTCATCAGTTCATCAGTTCAAGTTCAACGGCCGTTGTTCTTCCCCTGGAGACGCAAGCCATTGCCATCTGCTTGTCCCCTACATAATGTGAGGCGCACATCTTGGGGCATACACGATTGTGCTTATCACTATCGACACAATAGCACCCCCGTAAAAGGCTTTACTTGACGGTCGTCTCCGCCGGCAGGCTGGCGACGGGCGCCGACGGCAACGTGGTCTCGCCGGAGAGCGCGGTCAGCCTGGAGGGTGTCTCGCCGCTGGATCTCGTGTACCTGGACGACTCGCCGGACTTTTGTCGCGCAGACGCTGCTGCAGGTACGGCACTGCTCCGCTTAGCCACACGACGGGTGGCCTGCAGCCCACGGTCTGCAATCTGGAGTCGGAGGAGAACAGGGTATAGGGTGAATTCGGGTGAAGAGGAAGGAGTTTGTAGTTTTCAGACAGAGTTTAAAGGTGAGAGCTGCAGACAGAACTTGCGGCTAAGATCTCCAGATAAATGTTCCAGAGACTGGAGTTTCAGTGCTTGATTATAAAGCCTGAATTGGAGCCTAGACTTTGAGGTAAGATCCACGTCCAGTGTTTTCGTTAAACGTGTTTGCTTTCTATCTCCTTTGGTAATTCGTGTGCTGCCTGGCAGAGCCATGTGGCGCACGATCGCCGGCAGCACTGCATTGACGCGCGGCATAACCCGTACGATCCGAACTCACCGCCGGCTCCGAGATAAAGTCAAGTGATAACAAATTCCTCTACGGTGCCGGTAGTGTAGTGGTTGCTCTGCGCGTCCATGAAACCAGAGGCACAAGGTTCGATTCTCGGCAGTGTCCGTCCGCCCTGTCAGTGTCAGAGGCATGCGACGCCACAGACCCTCGCCAGCAGTCGTTGAGCCCCAATGACAACCGCTGCCTCACGCGCCGCCCCGTCACTGACCGGTGCTCTTGCTTGACAGGTATTGCCGGCACCGCCGGCCGCCAGTGCTCCCGCAGCCGGGGGCCCGGTGTGCGTCGCGTCGAGTCGCGCAGCTGTAAAACACTCTGCCGCCAGTGCGGGCGCCGCGTGCGTCGTCAGGCGACCCAAGTGGAGACCTCGTGCAACTGCCGGTTTCACTGGTGCTGCCATGTGACGTGCGACACGTGCGTGGAGCGGACGTACAAGTACTCGTGCCGCTAGTGCCGGCGGCCGCCGAGAGATGGCAGCAGTAGCAGGGACTCTAGTCGCGGATAGATGGCGGTAGTGAGATGCCGTTGTCGTGGCAACGAAGATAGCGGTTTGCGGTTACAGTGACGTGATGGTGTGGCGTGCAGTGCGCGTGGAGCCGCGGTCCTACTATAATGCACGCCCTGAATGTCGATGGAATGTCATTAAGCATCATCAGTCGGGAACTCTGACGGGTGTGGGTGTGACGGGTGTGACATGCTCCAGCGAACCACGCAAGACGCCGCGGAAGCATGACGAGCGCGCAGTGTTTTTCGCATGCGTCCACTTTGACATGGCGTCCAAGTGATCTTCGTGCTTTGACCAATGGCGACGCACTCAGAAACATGGCTGGCAGTGTGACTTCGAGGAAGCTTTAAGCCAGCAGGCGCGGTTCTGGACCTGTTTTATTCTGCCATGTTCCCAGTGTATGGACGTCCTGGTCGCGACATTCCTCGGTGATGTCCTGTGTTGTCCCGGCTATTTGTTTGCTCTGTATTTATTGACTTGGTTTTATTTATTTATTTCCACAAGTATCTCCTTCCCCTGCGTGCTCCGGCCCGCCTGGTCGAGCGTTTGTTGGCCCACCTCTGGAGTGGTGCGAGCCTGGGTATACCGAACTTGTGCAGGCGCTGTGTGTTTTAAAGGGTGATAGCGACATCTGAACTGACGTCATAGAATGACAGTATCTGGTGAACTGGTCCCGACAGCCGGGATCGGCCACGGCTGATACGCCGACTGGGCTCCGATGACACGCGACCAGATCCCGATCAGCTAGAGACACGCCAAGTCGTAGTTCTGCGTTTGTGGGAAGGCATGTCGAGTGTGGCTTGTAATATACAGATCGCTGCTCATGACCTGACCTGCTGTCGTCCCGCGGTAACTGACCGCATCTGGCTGTGGCCGCCCATGTCGCGACGTGTCCAGCAGTGAGGCGTAACACCTGGGACAAGGGAGGGGGGCGAGGGAGGGGTCAGCACAGCTGACCCAAATGCTGAAAGTGACATTCATCGAGTAGACCTGCTAACATATCAGATGATGTGGTGCGTCACGCTCCAGAACCGGAATTCTTGAAACATTGCTCGTGAGAGAGATATGTAGCTCCCATGGCTTTTCATGCAGCCTGCCGTAGAGGTTACTCGGTCATTCTTGAAGGCGATCGATACATTTCTAATCTGTGATGCTCACGGGCGTCCCCAGTTGCACTCAGCAGTGCACCGCCGCGGTGCAGAAATGCACCGTGACGTGATCATGCACCGCCTCGTCTACTCCATCATGCCATCACGTCATTTTTCCATCACATCATGCCAATCACGCCACCACATCACGTCATGTTACCATAGCTGCCACCACACCCTTGAAGGGAGTTTTCAACATTTGTGTGCAGTTTTGAACTGAAATAGCCCTTTTGAAGATCAATCTGTCCAGTTCACAGCCCCGCCCTTATTAAGACCTGAAGCCCTCTGGCTTCTGAGCCACACGCCCGCGAAGACATGCGAAGACATGCGAAGACATCTTTCGTGACATTATTTTAAGGCCAACCAGGCATCCACGACATCATCGTCAAAGGAAAATAGAATTGTCGAGTTGTTCATCTTTGGCGTTCGTGGACGCGATTTTGCAGATATAACGGCCATTCCCTTTAATCCGACGCCAAATAAAAATTTTGCCAGTCACGCCCACGTGGGAGGGCGGGGGGGGGGGGGGGGGTAAGAAGAGTATTTCACCTTCGGGACACATTTCAAAAAGGTACTCAAGGAAATTTCTGGACTAGTAACGTCCGGTGATGGCACTGGGTAGTGCCGTTGCAGCACCGTCAAGACATAATAAGGACATCAATTTTTAGCATTTTCGAATAAAAATATCCCCTGTCAATGTCTTGTAACAGCAGAGCTCTTTCATGCAGTTGCCACCACCGTCTTCATGATAACCACCGCGCGTACCTCCACTGGCGCGATTAAATTAACGTTTGTAATTGGCCCAGCAGCCAAGGGCTTGCCACCAAGAAGTTGGTTGCTCGAAGTTTGAACCAGTGCATCACATGAATCATGCAATACTCCCATTCCCAAAGTCAAAGTGCTCCCCGAGAAGAGCTGCTGTGGCAAATGTCATAGGTCAGAGATCCGAAAGCCTTGGTGTAACGTTTCGTTGAATTCGGGGATACAAACTTCATGTTCGCATACATTTTCGTCAAAACAGAGTGTTCCAAGATTTCGTGGCATTTATTTCGCCAACATGTTGACATATTAGTGTGTCTCATGCATTACACAAATCAAACTTTGGAAAAGCAAAGCAAATGAGATGTATCACGTTCATAGCGGTGAGCAGGGAGTCAAATGAGGTTTCCTCCGCAAGGCTGGCTACTCCCAATCGAAATTCTGGGCTATTCAGAAGGATTTCGGGAAACTGGCATGCTGATCAAGTCGTGTGCGTTTGATGTAACAGTAGGTGAAAATTACAGAAAAGATGGGATGCTCCCTTCAATAGTAGCCGCCATCCCTCAGCCGGATATTGCAAGATACCTTCATAGGATGGCAAAAACAATCTGATAGTGTTTAACCAAATTAATGCAAGCTATCCAAATTTTCGAGGAAATTCAGTGTCCTCATTCCAGCTATTTTTGGGCTCGCCATCTGCCGCCGACTGGCAGGGCTAGCGACGGCCGGCCGCGGCCGCGCTGAAGCTCGAGACCGCGCCGAGCATCGCGACACGTCAAGCCTTCGCCGTAAGCTTCTGCCGTTGGCCTGGAATTCTACCTTCAGATGGCGGGATCTGGGCTCACACAGTTAGCTCCGTTTGGCGTGGGCGTTTATTCCAGAAAAGGAGTGACTCAGGCAGTGGATACCTCCGGCCAGTCACGCCAGGGCCGAGGGCAGAATACCGGACCTCCATGGGCGTAATGCAGGGCCTCTGTGAGCAGCATTCCGAGTCCGAGGCTGGCACACTACGCATAAATAGAATACATATCAGGTCTTTATAGACTACATATTAGGGCTTTATGGATGGTAAACCTGCTGATTTAAAGTAGTTTTTTAGTAGTAGTAGTAGTTTATTACTGATTTAAAGTAGAAGTTTAAAGTAGGAAATAACTAGCTAAACTAGGTAAACTAGGAAATGCCAAGCATTGGTCCTTAAATGGGATGTTCCACCTTTGAAAATACTGAAGCAAGTGTCAGATATGATGAAATTTGCTCACTTAAAGCTTCTGGTATACTTTTAAGTGAAAAACACCGATCTAGAGATTCTATTTCTCTGTTAAGTAAACCTGATTCCCAATACGCTATTGCTTTTATATGTCATTACACGTTGCACGACAATGATTGTCAAGTGACGGCCGTCTCATCTGGAAGTCTTTCTCATGAACGCCAGATATGAATGACTCACGACTCGACAACTATATTTGCCCTGGCCTTGCTTGTCGCATAACAAATGAAATGGCAAGGTTCAAATGACATCATTATGTCGGCACGGATGCTTTGGTGACCTTGAAATAGTCTCCCTGAAATAGCCTGCACATCCTCGTGAGTGTGTTCAGGTCTAAAGAAGGAAAGGGCTGTGAACTGCACCGAATGATCTTCAATATGGCTTTTTGAGTCCAAAGCCCCATGGAGCTGTAGAGCAATCCCCTTAATCAGTCATTAATTTGTACAGACCTACCTACCGCAAAATAACGTCACCCACACCCACCACCTACTGCCCGTTAACCGAGCCATTGGTGAGACTGGCGATCACCAGTGAATGAAAGGGTGTGCACTAGTGATCCCATTCGGGGACATCTCGGCCGGCCAGTGACTGTTTTTTCATAAGTTTTTGGACCTACAAATTGTGAAAAGTGTGGACTGGAAAGCGGTACAATATTTAAGATCACACAAATCCGCAAACAGAAAGCAGCTTTTCAACTACATCCCGATTGGCTTATGGCTTGGTATGTGTTTTAAAGACGTGGCAGATGGTCCTCAAGATTAGGTAAAATGAAACGTCATGGTGCACACTGCATATTCTCACGAAAAAAGGCCAAAGCTGGACAGCTGTCACGTGAATAAACACAACCTGATCTTTGTAAGCACCAGTGATAGATCTAGCACTGAATGGCAGATGAATAGGGCCATAGACACCGCAAAGGCCAATCATTTGGAATGGCATGTTCCACATTTTGAAGACTTTGATGCAAGCGTTCGGTGTAATGGAAAACTCTCACTGAAAACTGTTGGTCCGCTTTTAAGTGCAAAAGCCTTGCTGGGCCAAAAACTGATTAGCAAAAATTGTTTAGTAACTACCTTTCTCAATACGACATTCTTTGATTACGTCGTGAAATGATATTATGACTTTTTATATTTCATTATTATAAGAAGCAGGTGAGGTGGGCTCGAGCGCGCCTCTGCTGGGACCGGCTCTCGCGTCCGCGGCCACAGGCCGCATGCAACCCATGGCGGGGCGTGCTCAGTGCTGGTACTGCGGCAGAAGCCTAACCGTAACGTTTGTTTTTATCTTAATTTGAACATGTATGTTGAGTCCAGGTTGAGTACTCGAATATAGAAAGGATCATATGTTTTTGTTTTCAGTATGCGGGCATCACACACGGAAACATAAAGTATCGGTTGGGGTGCACATATTAGGTAAGTCTGGTTTTGCTTTGTCCACTAGGCTCAGGAAGTTGTCTAGCTGTTGCATTGTGAATGAGGTGAGATCGCTGACTGAGGTGGTGCCGATAGGATAGAGTTTGTGTTTTGCGGGACACGCTCAGTTTATTCCCGTATTTGTCTTTATCCATTTCAGCCGATTGACTTGGATAACAGACTTTTGAAGCCGTTAAATTGGCTTCGTGCCCATTCATGTTTTGTATGTATTTGCTCTGACTCATTTATCTGACGTACACGGATCCCTTCAACGAAACTTGGATGGTATTGACGGGCACGACGGAAAGTGAGCCAACATATTTTACACATCCATAGCGATAATACATGTATTTAGCCACA